AGCCGGTTTAGACTGAAAACATCTGGGGAGGATGACTTATCCTCCCCGCTGGCCGGGTTCCTGCTTTTCCCTAATCCTGACCTGCGCCCTCTCCTCTATCTCTAGTTTGAGGACACGCACCTCTCTTGGGTCAGTGCTGGCGCTTTTATTTTGGTTGGGACTATGTTGTGGGGGGCGGGTGGACTCCCTCTCACAGAAGCTGGGGAGAGCTGAGCGAGGCGAACTGTGTGTGCTCTTCTGTTTGGTTTTGCGTCCTCACTATAGCAACCAACAGTGGGCTGACAAAAATGCACCCTCTCTGGACAATGGGCCGGCCTCCGTGTTTGCCTCCCTTCCCTTCGTCGGCGTCCTCCTCCTCCTCTTCCAAATCCTAGCAAAGAAGAAACGCACTCTCCCCCCCCCCCGCCTCCGCTCAGTCCCCGAGCCATTTTAACAATCTTCACAGCGCTCCTGAAACAGAGCAGGGGAGGAAGGGGGGGTGTTCCTAATTTTACAGGCTGTCTCTTTCTCATCATCAACACACCCACTACCTGAGATGCACATCCGTGGCAAAGTACCCGCGAGTAACACACTCAGGCAATGTACAGTTGGCTTTTGCGGCGATTTGCAACCTCGACCCTTCGTTACACTGAACGGGCTCCAAACGTGCTTAAGGCTGCAATCCTAATCAGTACTGAAAAGTAACTTCGAGAAGCCACGCTTAGAATCGCAGTGCGCAGACCAGATGAGGCTGGTTCCTCCTGTAATACTCAGCAGGGTAAAGTCAGTTTAACCGGTTCTAGTTAGCTGTACTTGACAACTTTGTGCATCTCTCCCAGTCTTCTACGTGCATAATATGACTTCAAGTGGGCCACTGACTTTTGCGTTTATATGGAAAGCACAAGGGCCGCAGTCCTGTTTGCATTTAAAAACTTGGGCGCTGCAAGAGGATCAGAGCCGTCCCCTCCTTTTAACGTGACATGATTTACGCATCGGTCTCTGTTTTGTTTGGTTCACAAAGGAGATCGAGGGGGCACATGCCATAAAAAAAAAAAAAAGCCAGAGAGAGCGCGAGAGGAGAAATAAATGACGCCCACCACCGAGTTCATTGGAACTGTCTTCGCAGTGAGCGTGTTTAGGGCTGTCTGGGCTGCCACTGTCCACTAAAAGCTTTGAGTGCGGTAGCCCCGTCTTGGCTTTTGCATTTAACTTCTGCTGCACTATCACAGAAGTGCGGTGGATTGCATTTCTGTTCAAGATTTTGCCCCACTCCCAAGAAAAGAGTAGCCAGCATCTTCTTTTTGAATTCCTAACATCATCATTATCATTATTAGACGGCCAAATATGCGTAAGTTTCAGTGTCGCTGGCTTTAGGCCTTCCTCGTCCTTCCCCTCACCCCACCCCTCACCCCCTTCCAAGCATAAGCTGAGTTTACAGTTGCTGAAATCGAGCCCCGGTTCTTTTCTGGGGAGGAATCCTGACACCACTAGCATGGAATCCACTGCCTTCTCCTTTCCCCTTGGATAAAGTGAAGCACAGGAAACAGAACAAGTCACTTGAGTGCTACTTTATTTTGTCTCTCTGTGCGTCTTCGTCCTTCCCCCAACTCGCCATTCACGGAAACATAAGAACATGTAACCTGTTCAAGGAAGAATAATTTCCCTGAGTCATGTAGAATAAGAAAGAAATCCTTTCTGAGCTGCATGTATCCCCCCCTCCTCCTTTAATCCTCTCTTAGGAAAATAACAACTTCTTTAGTTGTCAGGGGGAAGCCGGCATGATGGAATAGTCTCCCCCACAACCACCCACACTACCACACATCGCACACGATCAGGAGTGGAAAGGAGGACGTCCTAAATACAATGCATAAAGTTTTTATACTATAACCTTTTAAAAGTGCATGTGCAGCGGGGTAGATTTCACAAATGCCTTGGGTAGACTCTGCTAATGACAGAATATACTGAGATCTGCTTTTGTCAGAAGTATTTGGGATACATCCAGTAATTTTAGGGACAGACGCAATCTATAACATTCCAAATTTTAGGGAAAGTTTCCGCGGGTAATTTAAGGGCCACAGGTAATTTGAAATAAGATTCATGAAACCCGAAGATGGATGTGTGAGGCATACATCTTCAAACAGTCTGTTAAAAAAGAATAAGGTTTCTCGTGAAAATCTTCCTACACCAGCTTAAACAGAAGCTTTGAGTGATCCTTGTAGTCCCTCTATAGCTTATTCACCTACTTGCCTGCCAAAAGAAATCCCCTTTAACTCACATTGTTAAAGGGGAGAGGGAAGAGTCACTTTAACAACAAAGCCTTTGGAAACGACATCGCATACAAATAAACTCTTCTCCACCAATAAATAGCATCTTGTCTTCTGTCTGAAATTTCAGTACAAACAAGCGACATTAGTTCTGAGTACAGGATTCGCCTCCCAGCCTGATGGAAATTGTCCCCCTTCATTTCCCCCCTTCCCTTCGCTCCCCCCCCCCCCCAAGGCCTCATATTCACCACTCCAAATTTAGCAGCATTCCTTTGATAAATTACTCAAAGTAATCCCTGAAACAGCTAAAGTCTGACTGGTTGACGTTCTGTTAGAAGTGTTCGTAGTGGTATCTGCCTATAAAATATTCACTTGCGGACTACAAAGGGTGGATCATTTTTAATGACAAGATTCAGAACCGGAGGATGAAGCAGGGATGGGGTGAGGAGGGTGGGGAAAAGAGACTAATATCCTGGAATTCAAATCACTAATTTCAAGTACTGAACGCAGAACATTCTATCCTGCTTGTTTGAAACAGCGAGGCAGATAAAATTTGGCAGTCAGCTTAGGAGTTGTCAGCGGAATACTAGTTGGAGGAGGGAAAGTGATAAATCTTCAGCGTTCCCCCTCTCAAACTTTTCATGGGCTGGGGTGGGAGGGGGAAGAAAGTTGGCCTTTTTGTCTGAGGGAGGGAGAAGCCCGTTCAAATGGTGAGCGTGGGAAGTGTGACCGCGCGCAATCAGAGTTATCAATTTCTGTCCATTCTGTTTAGGCTTCTTAGTTAAATCATGTGTTTGTTACAGCCACCCGAAGGAGCCCCGACTTGAAAGTGTAGCTTTTCAGTCATCTTATAAATGCATCCCTGAGGCTGCAGCTCTTGCGGCTTGAAGGCAGATTTCATTAAAACAGCCCAGCTGCCTCTTTGTGCCAGATCGGATTCTTCAAGCGATCACTTGTGAAGCCCCGGCTTCGGAGAGGGGCGCTTTTTTCCCCTTCCCCCTTCCTTCCTCCTCTTCACCCCCCCTCCGCCCCTCGCGTTTCTTTTTCTGGTCCTTCTGCGTAGGCCCTTAAAAGTTGAAGTTTCATTCATGTGTTGTTGGGGTCTCTCGCTCTCCACTAAATCAGGCTCATTCGAGCCCCAGTGGAAAAAGCTCCGCCAAAGCGCAGGATTGAATGGTTCCTCGTACCGAAAGGTTAAAAGGGAACAAGATCAAAACAGCCCAGGCTCACAATAGTTACATTAAATGCGTCCTAGGCTAGCACATGTGCGTGCACACATCTCCAGGCTCGGCCTTTGAATTGGAAGGGGGAGGGGAGGGGAGAAGGGAGGGGGAAGGGAGGAGCAGCAGCAGTGCCTGTGTGCGTCCATCCGTACTGGGCTGTATTACAGCTTCTTCACACCTTAAGCCCATGGTATGGGTGCTATGTCCATGTATTTTAGGATCAAGGGGTAATAGCGGCAGGGCAAGGGGCGTGGGAGAGTGGGGAGGTCGCACGATCCTATGCAGGTTCGAATGGGCGCTAGTCCTACGGAGTTCAGCGGGGCTTAGTCGCCAAGCAAGTAGGCGCAGAATTTCATACATTTTCCCCTAAGAAGCGTGTGTCAGCTGCAAAGTTTTCATTTCTGTGCATTAGTGGAAGGAAAGGGCTGTGAGAAGGGGGGAAGGGTTGAGGGGGCAGCCTGCCTCAATATGGAAGACTTTTTAAGATGGTAAGGTCTAACTGGATCAATTCAATCTGTGTGTTGCTTAGGAAATTGCACTGCCTGAACCCAAGTGGATTGCTGTTTTTGTTTTCTGTTAGTCCAGAAGTACAATTAAAGTTTTCATGGCATTTATCTGTGATCAGCAGATGAATCGATATAAAGCTTAACAAACTCATTGTCGGTGACCTGTTGGGATGGTTGACAAGTGAGCAGGGGAACCGTGTTGGATCCCAATCTGTTCGTGGGTGCCTGAGCCACCACAAAATCTTGCTCGAAATGTCTCGAGTGTTTTCTGTTTGTTTGGTTGGTTGGTTGGTTGGTTGGTTGTTTTAAATCATTTTGTATCCTGTGTCTTCCTTCTCCCTGCAAGAGAAATCTAGGGTTTGCTGTGAGTGATTCAGTGTTTGCCCACTTAACCAATGGGAGATTTCACAGCCCCAGCCGACAACAGGAGCCTGAAATCCACACAAGGTCCACCTCTGGAACTGCTTTGATTTTGATCCTGCGCTCCCGGTAGGATCAGCCCCTGGAGCCCACCTTTGAACGGGACCTTCTACGCGCGCAGACACACACACACACACACCATTCGACGTCGTCCCCCTCTCTATCTTTCTGTGTATATCCAACCCCCCCCCCCTCCTATGGAGAATATTCTCAGGGAGCTATACTGGAATGAAGGAGATATCAAGGAGGCCTGTCAGTTCAAAGCTTTTTAAGGTTTGTTTGAAAATCCTCTTCCCGTCAAAGTAAGCAGCCCTAGTATTTGAACAGCTGCTTTGAACAGTGATGGGCGGGAAGGAGAAGAAGGACTGAGCTGAATGAAGAAAGAAAGAAAGAGAGAAAGAAAGAAAGAAAGAAAGAAAGAGGGGGGAAAGGGAGAGAGAGAGAGAGAAACCCATTGCAGCGTCTCTGCCCAAGACATCGCCTCACCTTCAACCTGCTTTTCTGTGGGCAGAGAAAAGGAAAGAAAGCCTCCGGGGACCTCTAATCCATCCAGGGTCAGCGCAGAGACAAAAGGGACAGGCACATGAATGTCTCTTTCACACTCCCAGCGCGTGGACCCAAACCGCTTCCAAGGACCCGCTCGGCCCGTTCCGAACTGAACGACGGAGTCTCCGGTTCTTGAAACCGCCCCCGCCCCGCCTGCCCGCCGCCCGCGCTCTGTGCTCCCTCGGCTGCTGCGCCCTCCCCCGCCCTGCAGTCAGACAACCGAAGCTCCTTTGCTGCTTCCAGCGGCGGCGGCGGCTTCTTCCTCCGCGGACACAGAGAGAGGGAGGGAGGGAGAGGGAGAAGCGAGCGAAGGATGCTTATAAGAAACAATATTCATGACCGGGGTAAGCAGAATGATGGAGACGGGGAGGCGGGACTTCTGCTTCTGGCGCCTCCCGAATTTCACCCACTTGCGCTCTGAGCACTTCCCTGCTGGGGAAATTCATAGAAGATGTTGATTTCGTCGGTGTACTGTAGGATGGGGGGAGGCAGGAAGGGGCTAGGAGGGGATAACGATGCATGAAGGAAAAAGAAACTAACCTTTTTGTTCGCCCGCCCCTTTTTTTTAGGGCAACATACTCTTGTTTTATTTATTTACTTTTACCATTCCGTGTTAAGCTGCTCTTTCTAACGTGTGTATGTGTGTGTGGCAAGAAGTGGCCTCGTCCAAGGATTTGCAGCAGCTGGGCTGTTCCAGGAGGGCGAAAAAAAAGTTAAACCTGACAATTTAGTCGTCCTGCCCTGGGACAAAAACAGCATCCTATTCCCCGGCATCCCAGCTTGCCCGGCTTCCTAACAGCAACAGCTGCCTCTTTGCTTCCAACGCAGACAAATGTGTACACGCACGCACACGACTGACTTCCCTCCTCCTCAGCGGGAAGAGGAGGACTAATTTCACGTGGCTAGTTAAGTGTTGACCGGGAATTGGGGGGGGAGGGGTGCCGCTGGCCGCTTTCCACTAATGCCAGGGGTGGGTTGGCCTGTTGGGAGATCTCTCTATTCAAGTAGACTGTCGGAGAACTCGGTGGGAGATGCGCCTAATAAGAGGCCATGGAAGGAGAAACTCACCCCCCACACCTTCTTGGCTTTCAACCCTGAAAGAAATCCTTGCAAACACCAGGCAGAACTGAGAAGAGTGCTTCCCTATTCCAAAACTCCTTTAATTGTGCAAACACCCTTTGCTTGTTTCCACTGACTTTCAGTGGTTCAAGACTGCACATCGTGTTCACTTAAAAGCACTTCAGTATGGTGTTTGGGAGGGATACTAGCCCAATTGCATTGTTCTTGTATGTTGTTCACAGCGTCCAGCTGCTTTGGGCTGATGAGAAACAGTACATAAGTGTTAACAAAGTAAACTGGGGCGAGCTGTGGGAGGGGGAGAACTTCGGTGTATTCTTGTTAAACTCCCCTAAACTATACGGTCAAATTCTACCGCAGCTCCGAACTATTGCTCCTGAAACAGCAAGGAGCGTTAAGGTTGCCTAAAAGGCTATGGCATAAACTTTCCTGTGCTAGATTCCACTTCATCAGATGCATAGAGTACAACCCTAAATTGGCAGGCAGCTATACACACACTGGAGTGGGGCGAGATATGCCCCCGATCCAGGATGAAAGTGGTCCAGGAAACCTTATGCTATAATAAATCTGCTGCAGCGTAATCCTATACATGTCCAGTCTGAATGCCCTTCAGTTCAGTTGGACTTAATCTCAGGTGAGTGTGTAGAGGACAGCAGCCTGGTTAATCTGGTTGTTGATGTAACACAGACTGCTATTCTGTGGAAAGGCTGCGGTGAAAGTTATGGCATTGTATAGATATGATTGCATTAAATTTGTTCGAAAAAAACCAAACGTTTGCAATCCTGAAAAGTCTCGAGTAAAGACTTTCCCCCATATAACTTGCATATAAAGACGCCAACCTTCGTAAGTTCTTTTCTTCCCCTTTCTTAGAATCTAGCAAAGTGGCCAGGCCAGGCCATAGCCGTGATGTGCACCCCTTACAACATGGGTAGGCAGACTAAGGCCCGGGGGGCAGATCCGGTCCAATCGCCTTCTAAATCCGGCCCGCAGACGGTCCGGGAATCAGCATGAGTAGAATGAGTAGAATCAACATGAGTAGTATTTAAAATGCATCTCTGGGTTATTTGTGGGGCCTGCTTGGTGTTACATGAGTAGAATGTGTGCTTTTATTTAAAATGCATTTCTGGGTTATTTGTGGGGCATAGGAATTCGTTCATTCCCCCCCCCAAAAAAATATAGTCCGGCCCCCCACAAGGTCTGAGGGACAGTGGACTGGCCCCCTGCTGAAAAAGTTTGCTCACTCCTGCAACAAACTAACCCCTTGAGTAATTTATGTACGTTGACTTGTATAAGGTGACTTACCTAAGACATACATAAATTGAAGGAGACTTGCACACTTCCTCGAAAGTGTGAGTCGTTCCACGGTGGAACAGACTCTCAGGAGAGGTGGCGGGCTCTCCTTCCTTGAATGTTTTTAAGCAAAGGTTGGATGGCCATCCCGTCATTTATGATCAAGCTGAGAATCTTGCATTAAAGGAGGTTGGACTAGATGACACTTGGGGTCCCTTCCCACTCTACAATTTTATGATTCAATGTGCCATTGACACAAAGTATGACTGACAGGCTTCCAAGTGAACTGGCAGCTAGTTGGTCTGAAAGTACTGAAGCCTTCCTACAACCCTTGCTGTGTCCAGAACTTCTCTCTTCCTGTCCGTGTGTATCCTGTTTGTGGAACCTCTTGCTTGCGTGTGCAGACGCCTCTCTCGCGCAGAGAAATGTTTCCAGCCAAATAGCCTTCGCTAGGATAATGAATCATGAAAAGAAAAACCTTATGAGAAAGGCTACTTCTCGCTAGTGATGCTAGTAAATCTCCTCCCCTTCCTGCCCTGGTGTGGTATTTCGGGTAAGAGTGTACATTGAGTCCATTCTCTGACCTGGTTGAGTTTGGTCGTAGCACAGCAAAGCTCTGGCTTCTCAAATTGGGGCTCTAACTTGGAGTTCCAGCGAAGTCTGGTGCCAAGTGCCCCTTATTTTAAGGTGAAACCCAGCGTGGTCACAGAACACCACGTATGGTTCTGTCGTTGCTAAATATTCCGGCCCCTTAGACCTCAGCTCAGAAGCAGCAGCATAGCTTTAGCAAAATGCTTTTGCAAATGTTGGCAAGGATGTTATTTACTCTTAAGAGAACCACACTGGAGGATGGGCCAATCAGCATCACGATGCAGCTAAAGTTGTGGGGCGACACATGGACTTAAGACCTACATCGATGGACTTATGGGATTTTGTTTTGTTTCCATAAATGTGCTTAACTGGGGAGGGGGCGATAGCGGGGCGGGGGTTGTCCCATTCCCTCTCGCCTTTTCGTAAGCTCCTGCCCGAACAACAGAAAGAAAGAAAGGAAAGAGAAAAGTTGCAGGTCTGTAAACATACTGGTGATCCCCAGGGAGTGAGAGCCTCGGCGATTCTGCGAACAATAGCAGTTGGCTTTGCCTCCGCGATTTGCAAAGTGTTAAGCCTTGAAATTCTTAGCGAATCCTAGTTTTGTTCTCAGGCAGCACCTGCTACTGGGACAGTTTGGGGACTTGACAGAGCCTCTCTCCCGAGGAAGCAGCAGCAGCAACAACATACAGCCCTCCCCTCCTCGCCCCTTTCGCCATGCAGTCATCTTTCTTTTCCAGCCATTGTGGAGAAGGGAGCAGCAGGTTTATCTCGGATTACTGGGTGCAAACACAAGGAGAAGCGCAAGCGGGGCGGGGGGGAGAGAGAGACACGTTTGGGAGAGAAGAGATATTGAAAGCTTGAAGCCCCTTCACTGCCTGCAATTCTATAAATGCACTTCTTTAGGACCAGGTCCCACTGACACCAGTGGGGCTTACTGTAAACATGTAAACATGCGCGCATGGAGGAAGCGAGGCCGTCCCTCTCCTTCTGATGATGTAGACTGAGTAACTGGAAAGCAAGAGTCCCTACAAAGTTGGCAGGCTGATATTTTCAAGTTTAATATATAAAGTTGCCCTTTCCTGCTAAACAGTATCTGGGAAATGTTGGGAGTCGGTCTGCGTACGTGACGAAGCGGTGCGGGCGTGTGTGTGTGTGGATGCACCCAGTCCGCCTGTCAGCCAAGTCAAGAAAGGCATTGGACGGGAGTTTACAGGGGAGGCTCCCGCAACGAAGCCTGTGATTCTGGCAGGGCGTGATTCGGCCGATCCCATCCAGTCTGCTGCTTGCCGCTTCCTTCAAATAATACCTTCCCCTGAAAGGACGAGTCCTCCTTTGTAGCCTGGCAGACGGGGGCGGAGTGAGGGGGAAGGGAGGGCGCGGGTTGGGATGCGGAACGAAAGAGCGAAGCCGTCCTGCGCCTGAAAAGAACCCAACCAAGTTTCGGAAACAATGCGAGCAACAGGAGAGCATCCCCACCAGTAGCCTTAACCACGGCGCGCCTAGGGTCAGTTTGTGACCTACTTGCTTTTCCAGTAAACATAGACAAAGGTGGTTTTCCTATGTGTCTTCTTCTTGTTGCAGTTGTTCTTGCTGTTTTACAGAGGAGGTGAGCATCGTCGGGTCTCACACACACAGCCCCCGTTATCCGGACTCAGCCCATGTGGCTACAAGCAAAGGAGCTACACTTTTCATCATCATCATCATCATCATCATTATTCCCTTTCTTCCGTGTGTGTGTTTGTGTCTCTTCCCCGCCCCCGCCGCCACTTCTTTTCTGTTCCTTCCCCCTTCCTTCCTTCCTTCCCTCTCTCCCTGCTCCGAGTTTGATTACAAAGCGAGCGAGAGGGAGGCTGTGCGGGGGGCGTGGTGTCAGCGCCAGGGCCGGGGCCAATGGGAGGCTCCCCCTGCGCCGGTTGCTAGAGGTCTCCACGTAAATCAAAGCGCAGGGAGCCAATGGGGGCCGGAGGGAGGGAGGAGCGGGGACGCGTGCCTTTGCAGTGGGCTCTGCCAAGCGGACTTGCGGGGGAAGCGAGCGGCGAGAGGAGCCCGAGGCGAAAAAGTAGCTGTCAAATGCGCGGCTCCTTTAAGCGGAGCCCTCAGTCCGGCTCGGAGAGTCATGGCGACCACAGCGTCTAACCACTACAGCCTGCTCACCTCCAGCTCGCCCATGGTGCACGCCGAGCCGCCGGGGAGCATGCAGCCGGGCGCCGGCTACAGGGACGCCCAGGCGCTGGTGCAGGCGGACTACGCGCTGCAGAGCAACGGGCACCCGCTCAGCCACGCTCACCAGTGGATCACGGCGCTGTCCCACGGCGGCGGCGGAGGGGGAGGCGGCGGAGGAGGCGGCGGCGGCGGCGGCGGCGGAGGGGACTCGCCCTGGT